CTTTATCAACAAAATGTGTTTTATCTTTCTCCTGTTCAGGTGTAAGGTGTAGTATTTTCTCCTCTGTATAAAAATAAAAAAATCATCATCATCACTGAATACATTTAAGATTTACTGAATTCTTGAGCAATACCTATTGAATAACAAATAGACATTGAGCATATTTTTCAAAAACGAATATTTACACATATCCACACATTTATCATTATGAAGTTAACCCTATCGCCACATGTATCCTTTACCGTGCATGATACAAGGTTTTAGTGTCTAACATTAACATTTTTATTAAACTACACTTTGTTTATGTTATACCAACTAGAATAGCATAAGATCTTAGTTAATAATCCATATTTTAACAGTATACAAGTTTTAAGTTGTTAATTCTACAAATAATATTTTAAAAAATCCTGCAGTTGCCCTACAGCGACCCACACGAGACATTGTGTCTTAGTACGTCGTCATCCCTTTCCATTAAATACAAGAATGTTAAAGACCACTTACCATCTACATTATGGTTTTTTAGAACAAAGCGGTTAATGTCTAGATTTTCCCAGCAGATCAAGATTTCCACAGATCCCATCTCAAGTGCTTTAAGTGTATCTTCAACACCGAAACAAAACTTCCCTGTGTCTTGTGAAATTTCATCAAAATAGCGTCCTGAAATAAACTCTCAAAGATTACTTTATGACGAGCTAAATCAACGTTTTATTTCAACCCCCCTTCTATTATGTCGACTATAACAGGTTGATTTACCTAAACAACACAAGATTAAAAATTGGTGAACTTTCTTTACAAACATCAAATTAAAAACGTTTTGATACCGTAATCAAAGTAAAACACATCAAGCAGGTTAAAAGTAACACATACTAGGGGTATTAAATAACTTAGAAATGTAAAAAACCTCTACTTGGGTCACATCAAGCAGGTTAAAATGAATGACACATTTCCAGAAAGTTAACATGAATATCACAACCCAAATTATGGTACATGATAAATTCTACAAGCAAGCTTTCATTCAGACTGACGTAAAACAGAGTAGATGGTGCTATTCTCAAAATAATGGTAGGAACTACATAAAACACATTTCCATTACTCTGTTATTCTTACCTATCATGTATGTAATGTGCATTTTGTGCACACCAGGGTTTGCAACAGTACCAGTGCTACCAGGTTACCGGTACTCGAGCATCTCTAATCACGTGATTTGAATGGTTAGAAATTCAACTATTCCTACCAGCATGTTCTCGTGGTACGACGACTATGGTAGTTGAAATCTAGGCTTTCTATTTATTACAAGTTTAATGGGAGTCGGCCTCAGAAAAATCTGTTAGCAAATTGTAAATTAGAGTGTGTCAGAGATGGAAGCAGAAAGTTGGTTCTGAATTTTCAGTGATTGCTCTTTAGACCATAGGATCGAAGAATATAGCTTCAGAATATTGATGATGAAATTACAGAGAATATTTTACATAAAGTTTCGTACTTTTCTAGGGGGTGAACAAAAAAAATCCAGAAGAGGAGACGGCTCAAGCACAAATATCCAAATTCTCAAAACGGAAGAACTTAA